AACCACCCAGGTGGGCCCAATAATAAATAAATAAAATCTTAACATGAAAGAGTGTAGCATATATAACCTGTACCTCACATCGAAAGCTTATTCATGTGTTTTCAAATAGGAAGTGCACTCAGAAAAACCGTATTTAAAATGAGAGAGAAAAAAAATCATATGGTGCCTTAAAACACCATATGAATGAAAAACATAGGATTCATGCTCCCTTGTGAATGGCAGGAAATGGGAATGACGGATTCTGTGTGCATTACCAGCACAGCTGCAATTCCCCCGAAGGTGATTTATTCCCAGGCAGGATCTCATATCAGAGTGGAAAATACTTTCTTTTCTTTTTACCCAACACACAGCATCTCACTAGGATTCATAATGCTTCTCAGGAACATTAAGTCAGGTAGGGTAAAAGAAAATGGGAAGTAAACAGGCCTTCTGGAAAGCTCAGAGGTCACCTGTCCAGTGGTTTCTGCCACACTAAGCAATTGTTTGAAAATGTGTTACTTTTTTTTTTTTTTTTTAATTTTTTTTTTTTCAACGTTTATTTATTTTTGGGACAGAGAGAGACAGAGCATGAAGGGGGGGGGAGTGCAGAGAGAGAGGGAGACACAGAATCAGAAACAGGCTCCAGGCTCTGAGCCGTCAGCCCAGAGCCCGACGCGGGGCTCGAACTCACGGACCGCGAGATCGTGACCTGGCTGAAGTCGGACGCTTAACCGACTGCGCCACCCAGGCGCCCCGAAAATGTGTTACTTTTTTAATAAATATGGAGGGTGTTGAATCATGTGCAATAGCTAACACGTGCTTAATATATATTGGAAAAATGAATGAAGGAATTGTCATTACTGAGAACTCATAACCAAAACCGTTATAACTTCTGTTTACTCTGTCAGTGTATATCAATAAAAGTTATTATCAATATCCGTTTTATAAAAAAGGAACCACTCATAGAAGGATGATTAAGGGGCTTACCTAAAATTACAGATTCTGCTAACAGTGGCAGAATTATGGCCTCTGGAATTTTTACTAACTGGTACTGTTTAAAACCACTTTGCCCACTCATTTCTGATGGGTCAAAAACATAACTACATATTTCGTATCCACAGACATTACTTTTTTTTTCCAGCCACACATATTCGGTCTGGAGCACTGATATAACGTGCCATTTGCAAGAGAAAGCAATTAAAATTATTTACCTGCTTTTCTGACGACACTGATTCACCCGATTCCCTTTCTTGAAAAAATCACATGGCTGATCATCATCTAGGGTTTGATGGACTGTCTAAAAAACAGACATGCAGTAATAAATACCATGAACACACACACACACACACACACACACACACACACACACACACCCCCCAAACAAAACAGCAAAACAAATCTAAGTAAGATTTCCCCTCAAAATTTACATCACCTTTTCTGTAGTGCTTGAAATATTCTTGCTCAATCTGTTGGCAGATGATGACAGCTGGGGAAGTGACTTCTTTATTCCTCTTATATTTGCAAAGGACTCCTCCAGGCCACCGGAACTAGAAGTAACAGAACATGGTAGGTAAGTATGGATTGCAAACGGCTCTGCCACCAGTACTGGGCTGGTTTTCACTTGTTTGTTTTGAAATATTTGCATAGTATTGAAATGTTGGTGGGGGGTATTGCCTTCTGTTTATAGTTTCATCTTTTTTGCTTGTTTATTTTTCACGGTGGATATTAGATACAAAATCAGACCACTATAAATGCTGCCAATGGAATCCTTCTCTCTCTCCTCACATACACACAGAGTCTCCTTGGAAATAACACCTTCAGGAAATTTGCAGGGCTAATTAAGGTCAGGTATTACTCCAATCTCCCATGTCCACTCATTCATTCATTCAACAATTACAGGAGAGCCTAGAAAATGCACATATCCCTGCTCTCACAGAACTAAAACTATTAGGGAAGCTCCCCTTTAATCCTCCTGCCTTTTCGATCACATCAATCCAGTAAAAGATTGTCAATCTAGTAATACCTATCACATAATGCTATCTCTGTTGACTCACATGGAGAATGCTGCTTTCCCTGATTTTCAGTGGGTGGCCTACAAAAAGTGCCCTGATTTCAAAGTGAATATTGTCTTTCATAATATCCCCTGCCTCTGTAAAACAGAAAAAAAGGTGGGATTATAGAAGACTCTTTTGTCCTCCTGAAATTCTGCTGTATTACTTTTCGTAAGTATGTGTGCCTTTTCAGGCTCTCACAGTTAATGACTTCTATCACAATCAACAGGCTGGGTTCATCTGAGATGTAGAAAAGGTTCTTCCCTTTACCAGCCCTCCTTCAATAGTTTGGTTTTCCTTCTGCTTTCTCCCTCCGGACAGCGAAAAGGGCCCCTCCACAACGCCTGGCCCCAAACTGCTGTCGGGAACGTGCACTTCCACCTTTTCCCCCGCTTCATTTCACCTGGCATGCTCTGCACCATAAGCGGCAGCGTTTTCTGGGCACATTACTGAGTGACACAGGAAAGGACCGCTTGTAGGGTCCTAAGATGCAGAAAGCAAGCTCCCGGGTTCCCTGATGGTTCAGGCTTGCATTGGAACAAAGCTACAAGTCTGAGACTGGCTACAAAACTGCTTCCCAAGCGCCAGCGGCTGACTAAGGGCAGCTGCATAATTCATCACAGGGCATTAACTCGCCTTCCCACATCTTCCTCTCAGGCTAGGCGCCAGGAGACGGACAGAGGCAGCACCGGCCCCTCCCCACCCTCCAGGGAACTGGCCGGCCGTCTGGGCGGCAAAGCATTGTGGGTGATGTGTGGTCAGGTCGCCTGTCCTCTACGCAGCGAGGCTCCCTGGATCTGGACGGGGTTCCAGGTTGCATTGCAGTGCACACGTCCAAAGAGCTGGCTAGCCCAGAGACTTCAAATTGGCCCGGGGACCAGCTCCCGGGGAGGCCACATTTTGCGTTCACCCCCCACCCCACCCCCAGTAACCCAGAAATCCAAGGGCCCGCGGCAGGCATCTTCCTCGTCCTCCGCGTGTGCAGACACAGATCTACGGTCGATAGGCGCAGGGGCCGGGCAGACGCAGACAGAAATGGATCAGACCTGTTCCGCGGTCGCCGAGGACACGTGACGAGGCCGTCCGCCGGCCTTCCCGGCGCCGGGCGCGGAGG